AAATTGAAATTTCATTTTAGTTAATTATTATATTTGATAAAAAATTTGAATTTCAAAAATAAAATATTATAAAAAATAAAAAATATATATTATATTTAATATTTTTCACAAGTTTAGGGGGTAACTTGTCTACACAACTTTCTTTTCGGTGTTTTAAGCCACATGGCAAGCCAATGATGAATCACATGGCACACGTCAATAACCAGAAAGAATTTCGTTAGTTTAATTAACGAAATGTTTGTAAGTAATTTTTTGCTCAAGAATATTGTCTATAGAAAAAAAAAAAAGAAGCTGCTGTTTGGAAAACTCTCTCCGTCAACCATGCTTTCGTTCGCGAGCGTGGTGGTCTAGCTGGAAACGCCGGAGATGGGTGGCAGAGGCCGGCCGAGAAAGAAAGATCCACTGCCGAAGGGTGGTGCTGCAACAAAAACAACTGATCTGAAAGATGATAATGGAGAGCAAAATAGCATCTCAGTCGAGGAAACCAACAAAGAGCAAACAGAGGTCGTGAAGCTTGTTGCTCGCGATCCAAACCAGATGGGTCTCGAAATGGAGAAATCAGAGCTTTTGAGTCTAGATCTAGGGGAGAAAGAAGGGGACGCTGAAGGAATTTTGCTAGATCTAGCAGGTTTGATGCAAGGCCAAAGGAAAAGCGGTTTCGATGCTGGTCCCAAGGATGGAAGAGCAGATAAGGGGAAGAGAGAGGCCGGCCCCGTGGAAGGGAAAGGAGCGAAGGGGAAGAAAGGAGTGCGCTTGGAGACTCAGCCTTCTGTCATCCAGATGAAGCAACCTTCTGGGGAAAAGGACGCTAGTTCTACATCCGGCACGGCGATGCCTCCTAGTGCTCGGTGGAGTGATCTGATTGAGAAGGAGAAAGGGGAATTTCAACCAACCCTAAAGCAGAAGCCACTGCGTAATTGGGCTTCGGTTGTGGAAGGGAATAGGGATATCAATAAAGGATGGGATTTGCAATACATAAAGCCTCAAGATCCAACTGGTGCTGTGGTTATTACTAAGGATGAGTGGGTTAAAGGGTCAAAGATTTGGGAGAATGCTCTTGTTGGGTAGGTTCTGGGATCTAAACCTGATTTTAAGGATGTTGCAAATTTTGTGAATAACAGGTGGAGGGAATTCTAGGTGCCTAAGGCGTTTATGCTGCGGAATGGAGTTTTCTTGTTTGATTTTGGTAATGGAGATGCAAAGCATGCGGTGCTAGAGAGGCGATGGACATTTAATGGGCACCCTTTGATTTTGAAACAATGGACTCTAGATTTTGATCCTGACAATTTGGATATCAGTAAGATTCCTGTCTGGATCCAATTTCCTGAACTCCATTTGAGTCTTTGGAACCCTGAAAGCTTAGGAAAGCTAGCAAGCTATGTGGGAGTTCCTATTGCAACTGATGCATTAACAGCTAAAAGGCAAAGAGTGGCTTATGCTCGTATGCTAGTAGAGATGGAAATCATGGACACTTTGCCTCGTGTAGTTCCTATTATTGGTCCAAAGGGTGTGTTCTAACAGCCTGTGGTCTTTGAATGGGAGCCTGTCAGATGTGGTAAATGTAGAAACCTGGGGCATGAAGAGAGAAACTGTACTGCTAAGGAAAAAAAGGTGTGGGTTCCAAAAAAACCTGCCGAGGAGCAGGTGGTCAATCAGATAGTTGGCACGAAGTCTTCTGAGGGGAATGATGAATTATGTGGTGGTGAAGTGCAAACTGCTATTAATTCAGCAAATGTGAAGCAGAGTAC